ACTATTTTCTAATCTATCTATCTTCTGTAAAATAATGCCGAACTTAATAGTAGTGTTAGTAGAAAGAGTCGCAGCACTTTTTTTAGAAAAAAACGTGTATGCAAATATCTAACGTACGTAATTAATGATAAAACATACTTAAACATTTTTCAAGTTTTATAGTTTGACTTTGACTTAAAAATTGCCTTGCGTCAACCTCTCCATTAAAAACCAATTCCGTTAAAAACAATTTTTATATATTTTTAAAATTTCGATATTTGATGTGTCAGCATGGCCGAGTGGTTAGCGCGCTAAGCTTCTGAACGTAATAGTCGTGGTTCAAACTTACCACCAGCAATTTTTTTTTTTAAGTTACAAAATATTTGTGAAGTTAAACAAGTTAAATGTTATACACTTTAGCCGTTTTTTCTTTTTAAATTTTATAAATTTTATGGATTTCTAAAAAAAAAATAAACGGGGCGAAAATTTGTTGCGTGTGTGTCACGATTTTGATACTGTTCTCACATAATTGGTCCTAATAAGCTACGGATAGTCTTAAACTTAAAAGAAGGTCCTAAAACCTAATAAAGAAAAATTTGATAAAACCGTCCTGCTACTCCACATGGTATTGCAGTGGAGTCAGGGAAAAAAAAAGCAAATAAAAGGTTTTTTGTTATATTTAATTTTTTGCTATAAATATAGCCAGATTAAAAAAATTAAAAAAAATGTATTGAGATTTTTTAGGCGCGGATTTAAAGCCTTGCACAGCGAATCTGATGACAGCGCACTTAACTTGTGAGCTATCAAAGTAATGCATGTAGTTAGGCGTTTCAACATTTTTTTAAAAATGTAAAATGAAAACAAAATAAATACCATAAGCAAGAGCTAAATAATAACGTTTAAAAATTACCAAACTTTTTGTTATATTATTATTAGTTTTTCAACTTTTAAACCACAAACTTTATAATTTATTTTTTTGCATGACTTTTGACGCTTTAAGCGACTAACGTTTTAAAGAATTGCATTACCGTTTCCGTCTAATACAAAGGTAACTATAAAAGACCGTTATTATTCAAAACTAAGCATATAATAATAATAATAAATATAGTAAACAGTAACTATTGAAAATGCCTAGGACGCGACCATAAACCATGGTCCATGGCTGGTCTAAATGTAGGAAGTAGTTTAGTTCAGAATTTAAAAAAAAAAAAATAAATAAACGGGGTTTAATAAGCTATATTCGTATGCGGAAAAAATGCGTATGTTAAAGTTTTTTTTTGCTCTCAAAGCAAATTTTTTTGATGAATTTTTTCCCACCGTTTACTAAAAAATATTGAAGTTAATAAGGAACAAGTAAATAAATAATTGGCGTGGAATAAATAAATATAGAAGTAGAAGAAAAGACCTGTATTTACCGATACGGGCAGCTAGATTAAGAAAATAAAGGAATATATATATATATATATATATATATATATATATATATATATATATATATATATATATATATATATATATATATATATATATATATATATATATATATATATATATATATATGTATATATATATATATATATATATATATATATACATATATATATATATATATATATATATATATATATATATATATATTTATATATATATATTTATATATATATATATATATATATATATATATATATATATATATATATATATATATACACTATAATATATATATACACTATAATATATATATATATACACTATAATATATATATATATATATATATATATATATATATATATATATATATATATATATATATATACACTATAATATATATATATACACTATAATATATATATATATATATATATATATATATATATATATATATATATATATATATATATATATATATATATATATTATAGTGTATATATATATATTATAGTGTATATATATATATATATATATATATATATATATATATATATATATATATATATATATATATATATATATATATATATATATATATACACTATAATATATATATCCATATCTTTTCGACCTCTTTTCTCAAGACGTCTATTTATAAAAGACGTCTTTTCACGTCTTTATTTTGGCTGAATATAAAAAGACATAACAAGTCATAAAAAAGACGCCTTTTATTCGCCTAAAGATATCTTTTTTCCCAATGGGCAGTTTAATTGCTGTTTGTCCCCGATCAAGCTGAATGAAAAGTAATATAATTTTTTTGGGGGATTATTCACTTTGTAAAGCATGCTATTTCAACAGAGCATGAACCTATTTTGTTTATAATTGAAAACAACGTTATTTTGTAGTCAAAACAACGTTATTTTTATGTGCCTTTCACAGCACAATTCGTCTAAATCATTTTGGACGAATTGCCATAAATTATCAAATAGCTGAACTGTTTAAGAAGAGCTACATGTGTGCAGCATCTGCTCTTACTGCGGTTGGTTTCATTAAGACTAACATTTAAGAACGACACAATGAGGGGGGAAGGAGGGGGTGCACTCAATGGTTTTTTTGTTCATTTATACAAATTATACAAGTCAGTTGACGTATGTGGGCCATTTATACAAGTCAGTAGGCAAATTAAGACAGTCAGTCGTGCTTTTACAAACAATGATTTTGCTTCAGCACATTCAATTGATATTCTAATGCAGTTGCTTTTTTAAAAAAATAACGTTGAAAGATGTTCTTGGGCAAACGTTATTCTCGCTGCAGCAGCTTCTAGACATTGCTCAAAACGAGGATCTGCTCATTAAGCTGCAGGCCTATTGCAGCGTCAGTTGTTAATAAAGTTTTGACACAAAGTCTCAACTTTTAATAGCAAGTTGTTCTACTAACAATATCAAATTAACACCAATATTTTCCTTTGACAGAAGTTTCTCCGGTTCCAAAGGTTATTTCTCCGCGAAATTAAAATCATCAGCACAAGGGTTTAGCGCTGTTTTAACAAGCAATCCATACAAATATGATTTGATAGAAAATCAAAATACAAAGACAATAAAAATATTATTTTGTTATTATTTATTATTTATTTGTCATTAAAAAAAAGAATACAATGCCGTGTTATATAAATAAAATCTACATGGTCGTGACAAAAAGAAGGCAATATTTGCCTTATCACTACACCTCGACGTGCTTTCATCAGCAATCGTGTATAACCATTAAAATGTAAACATAAAACATAAAATTACTTTTCACTATTTAAAAATTATATACAAGTTTATATAAATATGTTAAGATCAGTTACTAATCTATAATAAAAAAAAATCGTTTAAAAAAAAAAAGAATTAAAGCAAACTAAAAGTTATTAACCGGAATAAAAATGGCAAAAGAAAAAAAAAAATACGAAAGCCAAGAAAGACCATGCTCCGTCAAAAAAAATGATTAAAAAAATGTAATGTGCTGAAGCATTCAACAATAAAGCTATTTAATCTTAATAATAAAAGTAATAAATAAAACTGTCATATATCATAACCCTGTCATATTTTATAACCCTCTGTTATTTTAAAACCCTGACGGAATCGATGGTATAAAGAGCAACATTGATATTGGAAACTATAGACCAATATCTATACTCTCCATTTTTTCTAAAATTTTTGAGCGAATTATATTCGATAGGTTATATGCATATTTTAAAGATAATGACTTATTCTACTTAAAACAGTTTGGATTCCAGAAAAGCACTTCAACTGAACATGCAATACTTCACTTAATTAAACTGAGTATTCGAAAATTTTATATGATAAAAGTGGTAATGTTATATTCAAATGCTTTTTTCTCAAATTGTCAATTTTTAACCACCCGGCCATCCTATCAAATTAACTGTACGTCAGATTTGTATGAAATTTTTATCAAATGTTTATTACATCTAGTTGTACAATTGGATCTAATGGTTTTACAATACTGTTAGGAGTTTTTGATTTATAGAAGATTTAGTTAAAAAAAGTGCATTTCTTTAAATACGCCATTTTGAAAAAACTAAGCAAAGCTTAAATACTTTGATTTTTAGAACAACTTTAATTCAGTTCGTAGATTATTGTTGTGAAACATATGCCAAAAAATCATATCCTGTATGCTTTCGCTTACTAAGATAGTTAAGTCCGGGAGGCCTAAACATTTTTGAATGTCTGCCGTTTTACTTGGTAACCATGGCAGCTAATAAACTTTATTTTGCATTATTTAAAATCCTTTTATACAGTTGTTTCTCAGGATATACTTGGTTTTTGTTAAAAAGACTTTTTTAATATGTTTTTTTTTTGAGGGGCCTTATACCTTAACATAGTATTGATTTATTAAATACGTGAAATTGTTCAAAAATTAGTTGAAAAGAATAAATCTAGTTTTAGTGAAAATGAGGAACAAAAAATTGTTAAACCGCGAACGTATTTGCTATCATGAACACAGCCTAACCCCTCCTTGTACGCATTCATTCGTTTCTAAAAAATCCTCTTTTCTACTTGCCTACTTAATTTCACCTCTCCTTACCTATATACGTACTATGGAAGGCATATAATATAAAATTTGTTAAACTTTACATTTATTGCCATTTCATAATATATTTAATTGACAAAAAGTCACTATTTTATCTTTTTTTTTAGTTAAAAAGCGTACATTTTTTACCTTATTTATCAAGAAGTGTTAAAAAATTATTTATTTGTGGAAGCATTTAATATCACCTTTTTTTGAATTTTTTTATTGAAAGCCGATGATGATAATTTTTAGTAAATATGGTTTATTAGAAAGTGATTTGAAAATATTGGATGAGTAGATAAAATTTTTAATTTTTAGAGCTTTTTTGGTAAAATAAAGATCTGAAATGCAGACCTTTTCAGTTTTTTTTTTTTTTTTTTTTAACTTCACCTCAATATTTCATTAGAAAACAAAGCTACATCGCACAAGTTGTTAACATCACGAGTTAATCATACAAGTTTTTTTAGAGAGCATAATTCTATTATATTTAAATGAATAAATATAAATAAATACAAAAGTATACACACTTATCAAAGTAGTAATAGTTTTGCATTATAAAATAATACATAATGTTAAATTTAGATTATAAGGAAATGACTCAGCTTGATTGATGAAATAATAATTGATGAAATTCTTGTTCAAGGGTCTAAAAAACAAAAAAAACAAAAATGTCAATAACAGTAATTAATTAGTAATAAAAGTATTTTTACGGCATTTATAACTTTATTTACGACATTATTTGTTTTATTAAGTTTTTTTTAACATAGGCATATATTTTTCATATACATGTATTTTTTTATCAACTGATTTTTCATATACATGTATTTTTTTATCAACTGATTTATTTAGGGGATAACAATTCAGTACAAACATTGACCGTAATGCTGCTGTACATACATTATTAGACTTTAAAAGGCATAACATACAGGTAGTGTACATACTTCAACTAAATAAAATAGGCAGAGCATGCATTATGTTTGCATACATCGAAAGACGAAGCAGGTAGAAGCAAGCAAGGATTACATGTTCTACCTGCTTCGACTGAGGGTTTTAGTATGGCCAGTAAAACTTTCAAAATTAAAATAACTTTTTTATAATATATAATATATATATATATATATATATATATATATATATATATATATATATATATATATATATATATATATATATATATATATATATATATATATATATATATATATATATATATATATATATATATATATATATATGTATATATCTTATACTGCTGAGTTAGGTGAGCATGATGAAATCATACTGAAATAGCCTGCTGCGGGGGCTTCAGTACATACATCGACTGACAAATAGCCTGACTTGCAGTGGAGTGCTGCTACATCGACTGAGGGTTTGGTATGGGTCAGCAACCTTTTTTTACATTATTCTTCGTTTTCTCTCATCGTTTTCTCACAATGCTCACTTAATTTAGGCACAGCAAAAAAAGTGAGCAATTGCACATATAAATATGCTATAGTAGATATACATATATACTTGCTTGGATTTGTTGTATTGATGGATTTGTTAGATTTGATATATGCTTGCTTGGATTTGTTGTGTTTTTCTCTAGCTGTCATTTCTGTTCAACAAAAATTGACATCTAAATTAAATTTGAGGATGCGCTCTTTCAGATGCGTACTGTGCATAGCAACAAAACGGGTATGAGTAGTTTAGTAGCAAGTAGGGTATGCAATAAGAAAAATTTTAAAAAATTGAAAAATCACTACAGAGGTGTAATGGTTATCATGTTACAGAAAATTTATGTTTAGATATTTTGCACACTCAGATTTGTGCTTATAGAGTTTGGGTGTATTCTTCATGATTTGTGCATATTAGATGTGCGTAATTTTATCAGATATAAATAAAGATATTTTTTTATTATGGGGAAAAATAACAGTAAAAAAACCTCGCAAACCTGCAAAAATACAGGAACTAAGGCCTCTATAAAAGAGGTACAATGGTTGGCTCTCCTCAAGTATTTACCAATCGCTATGGAAAAATAGTCCCTCTAACGAATAAAAACTGGAAAAATCTTCTTTGTTTGTCTCATTTATTTTATTTTACATTTGCACCTTGTTTTACACACGGAATGGTTGTTCATATAAAGTATATTATTAGTGATCATTTATTTATGTTTAGCGAGCTATACTGCAGCAATGAAGTAAGGTTACGTCCAAAGCATCATTGTTTATTCATTTGCCCAATAATATAAACAAGTCTGGTCCATTTATTGGCATGAGTTGTATGCCATACGAACTTAAAAACTTTCTTTTTATAACGAGTGCACATATTATATGCAATTTTACCAATATTTGTCACACTCTAGCACATAGACATCAGCAGCAGGCTTAGAGAGTCACAACTTTCTAACGAACACATTCGCAAAATTTTTAATGTGGTAAAATGTAGTCTTAAATCTACTTATTTGCCTCTTTTTTATAACGCTATGCTAAATATACTGTATTTTTTTTTTTTTTTTTTTTTTTTTTTTTTTTGCCGTTTCATATATTTACAATATAGACAAATTACATTTATAAAAATTGGCCGGAGCAAGAAGAAGACAATGACAGTCTTATCGCCGAGCCTTGTTTGCAAATTGCGCGTGTTTATAAACAAATATAAATAAAATAAACAAAAAAGCGTTAAAGAGTACCTAACTTTTGTCAAATAATAAAATGACATTTATATTAAAATTTAAAAGTAAAGAAAGTTTTGTATACTAATACAAATATAATTCATACATATAACAAAATATATTTAATGATAATGGGAGCGTTTATTTCATTTTAAAATTTTAAAATTTCCTTTTAAAAAAAATACTTAAAGTCTATTGAATTAAAATCTAATTGAAGTAAGATTCTTTTAGAAACTGCTTTAAATTTTTCTAATGAGTAGTGTTCTTTATTCAAGTTTTTAATAAAATTTTTCCATAAAAAAGGTATGTATGAAGAAATTGCTATTGCATTCAGGAAGTATTGAATACAAACAAGGACATTTCATTGCAATTAATATAGATATAGAGACTGGCTTGTCAAACTTTCGAAAAATTGTATATTTTATTTCAAGTACAAATAATTATCAAATTGATATGAACAAAGGAGAACAGTTGCATTTTGTCTAAGAAATTGTGACAAACAATTTTACTTATCAGATATATTCTTATGAAGTTATACTTCTTTGTAAAGAAGTATAACTTCATAAGAATTTCCAGATTAGATTTTCCAGCTGTCTAGTTTTGTTGATAATTATCCACTTTATTGTCATAGTTTGTTTGCAGCTACTGAAAAGAAGAAATATTTTTGATTGCATTATCATGTTTAGATTTTTAATATATTGTGTAAGTGGTATAAATTTTAGTTGCATTATATAGATCAATAGCACTTTTTTTTTTTTAATTATTTTATTATTTAGTATTTTTAACAATATAAAGATTAAAGTTTAATTTACTTGATTTTTTTTATAGCAAATATAAAATATTTATTGAAAATTTTAATTTTGTTCAAAAAAATGTTTTTTTTTAAATGGTATTTTCCTCCCTAAAGCCTCAGTCGTTGCTCTTTTCTTAAAACTCACCTTACTCTTGGTTTGTAGTGCGGGTATGACGCTCCTTTAGGAGCTCAACTAGTATTTGCGGACCCTGGTAAAGTGGCCTTTATATGGCAATTAACCGGAGAAGGTTAAACCACAATACCAATAATAGAGACATATCGCGACGTTAGAGTAATCTTGTTCTATCTCCACTTTCTGAAAAAATTGAGTTAATGATAGTGTTGTGTTCCTCAAAATAATGTCTTTCTACTGAATTGAAACCTAAGTTATAAGTAAAAAAGTTACGGAAAAAACATAAGTTATAAAAGAAAATTTATACGCCGTCTCCTAAAGTTTTTGTTTTTTAAATCGTTTTATCTCAAAACTAAAAAATGTGGAGATAGAACAAGATAATTCTAACGTCACGATATGTCACAATAAAATGTAATCATAATATTAGTAAGAGCAACCAATAAAACCAATTAGTATATTTTGTATAGTGATTAAATACAGAGGAAAAGCATGGACCTATTTGCAGAAAGCGATTAACACAAAGGTAGAAGTCAGGAGAACTGATTGAAGAAGCAGAAATTTTATTTCTCACAAAAATTTGTGGGCGTTATCTGATGAACAATTCTGCCTAGTAAGTATAAAAAAAAAAAAAAAATTGATAGAATTTATTTGGAATAATTTTTATACTTCTATATTTCAGAAAAAAAAAAGGCCAAAGCTACATAGAAGCAGGACTTAACAAAGTAAATTATTAATTGTTTTCCTATCTTACATGATAAAACAGCTAGTAATCATGTGAGTAGTATAAGTTTTTTTTTTAAATTATTAAGGTGCTCCTAGATGTCCTTGCGGTTTTATCACAGAGCACCGCGGGAGAGCATTTAATTAGAAATTTACGCCTCCTTTTCTTACCAATGTCGCTTGTTGGGCTAGAGCAGACATTGAACCTCAGACCTCTGGGTTCTGAGCCAGAATTCTAATCACTCGTGATCGTTTAGATATTAGTAAAAAGCGCTATGTTTAGGTGCGCATGCAAAAGAAAATATAAAAAAAATTTGGAACTTTTAAAATGGCTAAGGTATTTTAAGATATTTTATATAGCAACAGTTTAACTGTTAACAAAATTCTGAAAAGCCAATGATGTACCCTTATTTTTAACGTAAATTAATATGATAATACAAAAATTTCACCAAAAAAAAAAAATACAAAGTGGTTATAAAAATCTTAGCGCGCTTAAACTTAATTTTTATTTAATACTTTTTTAGTTTAAATCATATACTTTTTTATTTATTTAAAATCGATATAACAAAGATTTGATAGTAAGACTTCAATTATATATATATATATATATATATATTATATATATATATATATATATATATATATATATATATATATATATATATATATATATATATATATATATATATATATATATATATATATATATATATATATATATATATATATTATTATATATATATATATATATATATAATATATATATATATATATATATATATATATATATATATATATATATATATATATATATATATATATATATATATATATATATATATGCATATATATATATATATATATTATATATATATATATATATATATATATATATATATATGTATATATATATATATATATATATATATATATATATATATATATATATATATATATATATACATATATATATATATATATATATATATATATATATATATATATATATATATATATATAATTGTATAAATATATAAATATATATATATATATATAATAAATATATAATAAATATATATATATATATATATATATATATGCATATATATATGTATATATATACATATATATATATATATATATATATATATATATATATATATATATATATATATATATATATATATATATATATATATATATATATATATATATATATATATATAAATATATATATATATTTATATATATATATATATGTATATATATATATATATATATATATATATATGTATATATATATATATATATATATATATAAATATATATAAATATATATATATATAT